CAAGGAAATGAAGGGGGCCTCCACGGTTCTGGTCGGAGGTTTCGGTTTCTCGGGTGTCCCCAACACATTGATCGATGCTGTGCGCGATCGCCCGGATATTAAGGATTTGACTGTCGTCTCTAACAATGCTGGCATGCCTGGTCGTGGTCTTGGTAGGTCCAATTGCACCGGAGACATAGCGGAGGACTTCATTCTGACTCTGAGCAGGTCAACTGCTTGAGTCCAAGCAGATTACCAAGATGATTGCGTCTTTCATCGGTGAAAATAAGGTCTTCGAGAAGATGTACTTGAACGGCGATCTCGAATTGGAATTGACTCCCCAGGGCACTATCGCTGAGAAGTGCGCTGCTGGTGCTTCTGGTGTCCCTGCTTTCTATACCCCCGCTGCTTATGGAACTATCGGTATGTCTGCGCATGACTGCCAACCAGCCCGAAAGTGACTCCAGCTAACCAGGGACATAGTACAAACTGGTGAACTCCCCGTCCGCTACAACAAGGATGGCACCGTGGCCCTCACGTCCAAGCCCAAGGAAACCCGCGAATTCAACGGCAAGCAATACCTCCTGGAAGAGTCGATTTTCGGCGACTACGCCCTGGTCAAGGTCCACAAGGCCGACAAGCTGGGTAACTGCCAGTTCCGCAAGGCTATGAACAACTTCAACGAGGCCATGGCCAAGAACGCCAAGTACACCATTGTCGAGGCCGATGAGATCGTCGAGGTTGGCGAGATCGCTCCCGAGAACATCCACATCCAGAGCATCTACGTCAACAAGGTCATCAAGAGCACCGGCGAGAAGCAGATCGAGAAGCTCACCTTCGCCAAGGACCCCAGCGAGTTGCTCCAGGCCGGTGACAGCGCCGCCACCGCCCGCCGCGAGCGCATCGTCAAGCGTGCCGCCAAGGAGTTCCGCGATGGCATGTACGTCAACCTTGGTATTGGAATGCCCCTGATTGCTCCTGCCTACCTCCCTGAGGGTGTGGAGGTCGTCCTCCAGGCCGAGAACGGTATCCTGGGTCTGGGTGGCTACCCCCAGCCCGGCCAGGAGGACCCCGACTTGATCAACCCCGGCAAGGAGACTGTCACCTTGGACAACGGTGCTTCTCTCTTCGGTTCCCACGAGAGTTTCGGTATGATTCGCGCTGGTCGCATTGACTTGACTATGCTCGGTGCTCTGCAGGTCAGCCAGTACGGAGGTGAGTATTCCGGTAACCGTGTCTACGTCGATCGCAATTGCTGATTGTATTCCTCCAGATTTGGCCAACTTCATGCTTCCCGGTAAGGTCAAGGGTGTTGGTGGTGCCATGGACTTGGTCGCCAACCCCGAGAAGACCAAGGTTGTTGTTACTATGGTAAGCATTTCCCGCCTAGACCCCCATTCATTCTTCAATGCAGTGCACTAATTCAACTTGAAAAACAGGAACACACCGACAAGAAGGGTAACCCCAAGATTTTGTCCGAGTGCACTTTCCCCCTCACCGGCCCCCGCTGCGTGTGGAAGATCATCACCGATCTGGCCGTCTTCGAGGTCAGCCCCACTGAGGGTCTGACCCTGGTCGAGCACGCCGAGGGCGTGAGCGTCGAGGAGATCCGTAGCAAGACTGCTGCTCCTTTCAAGGTCGCCGAGGACCTCAAGCCCATGCTGTAAAAAAGAATTAGAGGACCTAGTACTTCTTGATAGATATTTGTGTACATAATGTGAGAATGACCTATTGATTACAATCGAACTGGACAAACAAATTCAGATCTATCCATCAATCCTTCTGCCAAAACCCAGACATTCAAAAAAAACCAACAACAAGCACAAGAACATAATAATCCATCCCCAACAAACAGTAAAACCTAACCCCTGAAAGAAACAGAAAAAGACTCAATGCCCCGTCTTCGACCGATTCTTCGACCCCGTCGTCCCATAACGATCCCGCTCCGTATCCTCCAACACCCGCGCATTGTTCATCCGTCTCGCCGCGGCGACATTCGGCGCGTCGAACGCCAGCCCCTTACTCTCATCATCGTGTTCCTCCTGCGACTTCCACGCCTCCTCGTAGTCGTCGATCGGGGCGTCGTCGCGCACGAACCCGTCGACCTTCTTGGGGTGCAGTGGGGGCGAGTTGATTGGTTTGGAGGGCATGCTTTCTTTTCTTTTTCCAGATACTGGGCAAGTGTGTGTTTTCAGTGATAAGTTAAGGTAATGTAAGGGACTCTGTAGTGGAAGATTTTTTCTCGAGGATTGTTTTGTTACTTGCAAAGTAAAGAGATGGGCTGGATGCTACGGTACTGGGATGGGGGGTTTATATGCTGTCCTTCCCCTCTCCCTCTCCCCGGAGGAGGGGGGGTAGAGGGAGGAAAGGCTGGGGATGAGATCATGCTACTCTCATAGTTCAATGCTCATAGATAACTGGTCGGAAGGATAAGGATATTGTATCATGCTGGATGGCAAGCATGATCGTATGTTAGAGGCATGGCGTCATCGCGATGTAAGGAAATCTGGTTCGATACTCGTGCATGAGTACGGTCATTTAGTAGCGGAGAATTACTCTGGTACAGTCAAATGTGACGCAAAAGTCCCGGCGGAATGAAGTTCTTTACAGGGGATGATATTTCCTGGCTGGGTCTTGTGAAGAGTCACTATGCGACTATTTGAAGCGGGTATACGATGCCCCTCCCTTCTCTTGAGTCAGCCACACCATACTAGTACTAGTTACTGACTCAGATGTTTTCCGTTAACGGTCGACTCAACAGATATTAGTCTAGCTTGAGATTGAAAAGTATCGCTACTGGTCCAGAATCCTTGCATCACTTTATCGTGTCATCTGTCATCCCCGCATGTGGGGTTCCTCGTGGGGCCCGAGCGGTTGGCCTACTACGAGTACTTCGAGGTCTACGGGTATCTTGTCTTATACAACTACCCGCCAATGACTTTGTCAGACTGAACTAAGAGAGTATACTGTCAATTTTGTCGGTACTTACTCATCAAAAAAAGAATAGCTATATCATGATAACTGAGAGTATCAATTCACATGCGAGAACGCTTTGAAAAATCACATTGCGCCGTTAACAGCATCAGTCCTTCGATCCCATGGCCAACATACAACAATTCAAAAATATACGCGTCTAGGTATATATATGTGTGTAATATGCTCCTGCCCGTCACTACCAAAGATATTGCTGCTGAAAACTCACAGAAGGTGCGCCCCTCCATAGACTCGGTGCTTGCGGTGTGCTCAGCCCGTGCCCTCGTAAGTGGTCCGACTGAGAACAACTGATACGGGGGAGCTGTATGGCGGGAAACATCGGACCAGGATGCGGCTCGGCCTCCCTCTCTCGGTATACCTCGGGATGATTCTCGAGGCTACTGATCAATTCTTTCGCCGGTTCGCTTCCTTCGTCCAGTCTCGCATATACGTTGGCTCGGTATGGGGTTAGCGGGGGAAGCTCGGATTTGGAGGCAGCCGCTGGTCGATAGTCACTGGGTTCGTGTGAATTCTCCCTCAAAGGTTCACTATCTCTAGAATTGAGGATGTCGGAGACGCTCGTGACCGCCCGGTCCGCCGAGTTCCGTCCTGAGCCCGGTCGTTGTTCTTGATTCAGGCAGTCCTGCTGCCACGCTCTGACATCCTGTACGCTGTTGAGAGGAAATTGTTTCCAGTACTCCGTTCCTCGTTTCCCCGATCGCGAGGACGGTATATACGACGGCGGCGGAGGACTTCGGGCCGCAGCCATGCCGGGGTGGATATCTGACTGAGCATTATGTATCGAGGATGATATTTGCGCGTCGGACATGTGTGCCAGGAATTTTAATAGCAGAGATTCGGTCTCTTGAAGCCGATGCTCGAGAGCTTCGATGTAGCCTTTGGCGGGGCCTCTGTAGGAAATGTGAGCATGTCGAATGATCGAGGAAAACAATGCGTCGGCGTACCGTTTCAGTTGTTCGGGCCAATCGCAACGCCGGTTGTGTTGATGACATTGTGTGCAGATCGGTCTTAACAACCAGGATAGTCAGCTCTGAGATGTCTTTTTTCACTTTCGAACTAAGTCTTTCGGGTGGGAGCGAGTGGAAGCTGCTCACTTATTTCCATTGCACTGCGGATTGCGGGGTTCACGTTAGCATCGCATCTTGCGATAAGAACTCAACTTGGTTGATAGGCAAATAATGGGTGGAGCTTACCTTCTGCTTCCTGAACCGGCAGGAATTGCATGCCACGGTGATCCGAGAGACTTTGGTCACTTTGCTAGGGGCCATTGCTTCCGACAGAACTTATTGCAGCAATACAGATAGAGATCCTGGAAAAGTTGGGACTGCAGGCCAAAGTCGCACGCCTGTGGGAATCGGGGAAGTTCTACCTTTCTTGCCCCATATTATTATCGCATGGAGGAAGTCGCAAAACTCCCGATTCGGCTAAGTGCAGGAAGCAGTGGAGAAGTCGCCGGCTGAACGGTTAGCCGACAACTGCGTTTCCTGCCCTGTTGGGAAGTCCCGGCAATGCTGCATGGATCAACGATCATCCTCCTGGATTTTGTATCCCTGGTAGATGATGTCGTTGTCATCACATCTGAAGCAATAATGTGAGTGGTCTTCGATTCTTGGAACAATTGTGACAGCTTTCGATTGTTTTCGAGACAAGCAAAATCTACAGCAACTGGCCATGGAATTTGAACTAGCAGAATACGGTAGCCTATGCGTACCATTGCCGCAGGCATGGATAATATAACGCAGAATGACTTCAACAATACTGTACCAGGGGGGTCCTTCATTTCATAGTTTGGCTCGATTCGGATTTCCGGTACAGCTGGATACCGGATGGAGAGACCTATCGAGACGGTCTCGGATGCAGTCCGAGTAGATATAGATCGCCAAAATTAGAATGGATGAACTTTCAGGCAGAACATATGCGAAGTACGAAGTATAAAGATTCGACGAAGAATGAGGGTGTATTGCATGCTAGCAACCAATGAAACAATATTGACTCTGTTCAGCGCAAACTATTTCTTCCTTAACAAAATGGCTGAAAAGACTTCCTACCGGATTGCATCTATTCCCGGTGACGGAATTGGCTTGGAAGTGGTGAAAGCGACCATTGAAGTAGTCAACAAACTCGCGCAAGCCCTCGGTACCTTTGATATAGAATTCGAGCACATCCCATGGGGAACAGACTACTATAAGCAACACGGTCGATATGTGTCCGAAGATGCCTTAGACATCCTACGGAAGTTTGACGCAGGGTTGTTCGGCTCGGTGGGACATCCAGGTAGTTGGACCCGTTCCCTGCTGACGGCGCCTCAATGGCTGCCGTGATCGTGCAGTAGAGCTAACCGAGGTTTCATAGATGTCCCTGATCATGTCTCCCTTTGGGGCCTCCTCTTAGCCATCCGCGGACCCTTACAACTCTATGCCAACGTACGTCCCGTACGCACGTTTCCGGGTACCAAGTCCCCTCTCAACACTGCAGCCGAGGGAATCGATTGGATGCTTGTGCGAGAGAACTCAGAGGGTGAGTACTGTGGGCAAGGCGGAATCAGTCATATCGATCAGCCATGGGAAACTGCGACGGAGGTGGCGATCTTCACTCGAGTCGGCATCGAGAGGATCATGCGTTTTGCCTTCGAGACCGCACGCTCGAGGCCACGCCGTCATCTCACGGTGGTGACCAAGAGCAACGCCATGCGATATGGCATGGTCCTCTGGGACAAGATCGCAGAGGAAGTATCCAGAGACTTCCCCGACGTGACTTGGGACAAGATGTTGGTGGATGCCATGACTATCCGTATGGTGAACAAGCCGGAGTCACTGGACACTATCGTGGGCACCAACTTGCACATGGATATACTGTCTGATCTCGCTGCTGGCTTAGCAGGGTCAATTGGTGTGGCTCCCTCGGCAAACCTCGACCCTACTCGGAAGAATCCTTCCATCTTTGAGCCGGTACATGGCAGTGCCTTTGATATCATGGGGAAGGGCCTCGCCAACCCGGTGGCTACTTTCTGGTCTGCTGCCGAGATGCTACGATGGCTGGGCGAAAAGGAAGCGGCGAAGAAGTTGATGGAATGCGTTGAGAAGGTGTGCAGAGCTGGTGTCTTGACTGCTGATCTTGGAGGCACGGCCACCACTCAAGGCGTGGTCGATGCAGTTAAGAGGGAGATTGAACACTTGAAGACGAATTAGCTTCAGATCTAGTAGCTTCTTAGAGCCAAATACAAAATACAGTATACATCACTATTGTCTAAGATCTTAAGTTGTATAGTAAGTTGTATACTCCGCGTGGTGGTTAGGCGCTAGTTAAGTTAAGGCGGGATCTGACTAAGCAGGTCGGCTTTTCCGCTCCAGCCGATCTCCGAGTCAACTTGATGGACCGATGGTCGCATCAATTTCGACCTTCAAAGTCCTAATATACTCGGATCCGGATATGTCTCATCATTAGGACGGGCATCATGCTCTTGTCAAGATGCTGTCCCCAGTACCCGCGTCTGGCCCGGCGGAAATCGGGTCCTTGACTGCACACTCACTGGAAGAAAGTGAGTTTGTCGGCAGCTCCAGCGGCGTCTACTTCATCAAGACAGTCCGACGGGCTTTTTCCCACAGTCTGGACCCATTAGATGCTTCGTCTTCTAGCCAGGAGTTCCCACCTCCGGAAGATACTCTAGTAGGCAGTGAGGGCTTGCCGTCTGCCCGAAGATCAACGTCATTGCCTGCCGCAACACTTCCAACCGCTCAAGGGAATAGCCATGCCTCGCGACAATTGAGATATGACCCCACGGTGGCAGCAATCCTGGGAAAGTTCCCACCGCTGGATATAGCCCGGGAGCTGATGATGATGTACTTCAAAGTCTGGCATCCGCTGTTTCCGTTCTTGCACGGTCCGTCGTTCTTGAACTCCATGGAAGCGTTATGCTCCGAACGACATCAGTCGGCCACCGAGGCTTTGCCTTTAGAGGAGCATCGAAGTGCTTGCTGGACGACCATCTTCCAATGTGTCTTCAATCTGGCCAGTCTACTTTGTCCAGAGATCGATTTACCTCGTGAATCGCGCATCGAGTCATCTAATAACATGCACGCTTTACTTGGAACCCTATCCTGCAGACATGACATCCTCTCTGTGCAGGCGCTGCTCGCCTCGCAACTATATCTCGTAGCTAAGATGTCACTTCGGACAGCCTCCACCGTCGGTGGCTGTATGCTTCGATCTATACTGCATGCGGGTCTACATCGTTGTCCATATCGCTACAAGGAACTTACCTCTCATGATCGGCAGCTACGCAAGCGGATTTTCTGGTCTGCATACGCCATCGATCGATACTTGAGCCAAACGCTTGGTCTGCCTCTTGGAATCCAAGACTCCGATATTGACGTTTGCCCGCCTTTGGCTTCCGAGATCCACATCCCAGGTTCTTATGAGAGGATCAACGCCATCAGACGTGCGATTACCCCCAGCACTGCAGGATCCTCGCCCATCTCTACAGAAGACCGATTGCGCAGGCTCGAGAGGTCAGCGTATAGCCAACAGCCACTGTCCGCAACACCAAGACATTCCGCCGAAGACAACGAGCAGCACGGGCGAGAGCTCGTGTTCGCAAGTTACGTCGAGTCCGGGAAACTAACAGGGCGAGCGATCGAGCTGTTCCACAAGTCCATCCTTGTCCGCTCCGTCCCTCACAGCTCAGTGCTCTTCCTCATCACCGACGTCCACAAGTGGTGGAATAGTCTCTCGATCGAGTCTCTCCAGCAAGGAGGGGCCCATCAAACTGTCGCACCACCACCACCACCACCACCACCCTCCTCCGAGGGCCCCAACCCAGCAGCAACAGTCGCGACAAACCCCAACGCCCCGTTCAACTTCGCCCCCTTCTTCACCGTCCTCTACCAACACCTCATCCTCCTCATCAACCGTCCCTCCCTCTCCCTCAACCCGTCCAGCCCGGAATTCTGCTCCGGCCTCCAAACCTGCATCGGCGCCGCCCGCGAGATCCTCGCAGCCTTGACCACCCAGCAAGAAAGCGGACAGGCGTTCTTCTGGCCCGGGTTTCTATCGGCGGCATGGATGTCCGGTCTCGTGCTCGCATTTGCATGTCAACTCCGCCAATACGTGTTGTCCAAAGGATCCCAGTATGTGTCTCAGCCTAATCCCTCCAATTGACCCTTTGCATTGCATTGCAAGAGTAGTTCCTCTCCTTGTAACCCTTCCAACCTCCCCCAACCCCCCTTTCGCTCCACATCTCAACCCACATAAACTAAATCCACTCAAACAGAGAGATCTCCAAATGCCTCACCATCCTAGAAAACATGGCCCACCAATGGGAAACCGCCAAACAATGCCACAAATCCCTCTCCCTTCTCTCCCGCTACATTCACCACCACCACCACCACCAGAACACCACAGCTTCCATCGCACGACGACCCTCAACCGACACACCAGCCATCACGCGCAAACGCACCTTCAATGACGACTTGCAGCAAGCATCAGACCATCCAGCACCCAGCGGTCGCCATCGCAGACCTCCTCCACCACCTCCACCACCTCCTCCTCCTTCTGGTGCAGCAGCAGCAGCAGCAGCAGCAAGCACCAATCCACCATCAAACAACCACCTATCTGCTCGCGATCCCATCACGGCCACCACCAATCCAACCAACACCACGAATAACATCCATAATGATAACGACGAGGGAGATGCCCGACATCCCACGACCACGCGCAACAGCAATGTTCAGGCGGAACTCTCGCTGGACCCGGGACTCGTGGGGGGCGACAATCACGATCGATCCACGTGGGGCGACGATGACCACCCGGGTTCAACAATCTCGGGGTTCGCGGCCATGGACGGCGTAGATGCGGACATGATGGATCTGTTGCAGGGGAGTAACTTTGACGATCTGGCAGATATGTTTGGACAGCAGTTCCCTACTTTCTAGATTTATGGATGGCATGCCTGCCCTGTATAGTATATATACTCACGTTGTAGCTGCCTCCCCGCGGACAACATAGACAGCTAGTGAACTTCGTGACAATCAACTACGAAAACTTGGCTAGGATATTTTACTGGAGAATCAAGGACCAGAGATCGTAAAGTCCCGTGAGGAAGTCATAAGTCTATATTACACTCGTGTCATACCATCGGATACGAGGTAGGTTGAAGTTCTGACGGGATAGGAAGAGATACAAGCACTATCGCAACCTCCTTCCCCTGTCTGGTTCATAAAATGAAAATGAAAAAGACGATGACAACCATGGCATATCCGAAACAACTTTTATCTCCGATCCCAGTCTTGTGACAGTTCGAAGCTTTTTCCCTGCTGGCATCATGGAATCAACCTGTTTGCGCGCAAGACCGTTTCCATCAATTGAATCGTGAAAAAGAAAAAGTCGACCACAAAGGATGCTCGGTCCCTTGAAGAGTGGGAAAGAAAAAAAAATTGAATGGTATGAGAAGGATCCAATAACATGTTGCTCACTGAACAAGGCCCGACGACACCACGCACAAAGAAACTTTTAGTAACCCAGGGATATCAGACCAGGACGGAAATAGAAAAAAAAAAAAAGTAGAAGAAATAGGAGGCAGAGGGGTGAAGAGGTAGGGTAATAAAGAGGTTAAGAAAATGGGAGATAGATCGTTAATTGAGTAGGAAGGAGTAATCGAGGTCATCAAAAGTAGGTAGGCATTGAGACGATAATTTACGACTTGTTCTCTTCGGTCGCAGTCTCCGTAGCCTCCTCCTTGGGCTTCTCAGCCTCGGCGGGAGCCTCGGGCTCACCACCCTTGTTCTTCATGTACTCATCATAAACGCTGAGGGCCTCGTCGACCTTGGCGCGGAGAGCCTCCTCGTCCTCGAGCCTGTCAGAAATGTGTTAGCTTTGTTCCAAGAATCCCAGAATTGGAAGGGCGATTTATTGTGTAAGGATATACTCACAGGCTGAGGAGCTCAGTGTTCTCCATTTCGAGAAGCATACCGGTGATCTTGCCGGCAAGCTCGGGCTGCTGGGCCTGGATCTTGGGGTAAAGAGCCTCACCAAGCATCTGCTTCTGCTGAGCAGGAGGAGCAGCGCCAAGGGTCTGGGCGTTCAGACCGCCAGTAGCGCCCTCCTGGTTGGCAGCGGGCTGAGCAGCGTTCTGGCCGCGAGCACCCTGGCCAGGACGGATCTGTCCCTGCTGGAGGGGAACACCGCCGCGACCGTAGCCGGGACCGCCACGCATACCCTGACCCATGGGCATACCAGGAACCTGACCACGGCCACCAGCGCCGCGACCGAACTGAACCTGACCCATCTGGGGGTAACCCATGCCGTTAGGAATGCCACCAGGGCCCTGCATAGCACCCATGGGAATGCCCTGGGCGAAGTTAGGGGGCATCTGCTGGTTGGGACCCATGCCGCGACCACCCTGCTGACCGGGGAAAGGACCGGGGTACTGGCCAGGGCGTCCACCGGGGATACCCATGACCATGCCGGGCTGAGCGGGGAAGGGCATACCACCGCGCTGGCCACCAGCGGGGATGAAACCCTGCTGACCGGGACCGTAGAAGACGGCGGGCTGCATGTACTGGAAATAAGTTAGTTTGGAAATCGAGGGGGAAGGACTGAATGGAGAACACATACAGGCTGGGGCATGCCAGCGGCGGCGGCGGCCTGCTGCTGTCTAATGGTGTTGCGAGCCTGGATGCTGGCCTCAAGCTGGCTTCTGCGGACATCCTTGCGCTGAGCAAGAGCGACGTAGAGGGGCTTGCCGTTGATCATGCGCTGGTTCATCTCAGTGACAGCCTTGGAAGCCTCGTCGGGGCTGCTGAAGCAGACGAAACCGAAGCCCTTGCTCTTGCCAAGACCCTTCTTGTCGGACTTCTTGGACTCCTTGTCCTTTTCATCGGAGGACTCGCTAGCCTTCTCCTCGGCCTTCTCGGCGGCCTCCTCGGCCTCCTTCTCGTTCTCATTGTTGGCCTCCTTCTCCTTACCAGCAGAGTCGGGAGACTGGGTGCGTTCACCGTTGACACTGTCGCGCATGACCTTTGCGGATGTGATGGTGCCATAAGGTCCGAAGAGCTCGCGCAGCTTCTCGTCATCGACGTCATCAGTCAAGTTCTTGACGTAGAGGTTGACACCCTGGTACTTGGAAGCCTTCTCCAAGCGGGCAGCCTCGTACTGCTTGCGCAGCTCCTCCTCACGCTCGTGCTTCTTCTGGGCACGGCCGACGTAGAGCTTCTGGGTGCGGATCTCCTTCTCGTTCATCTCCTCGACGGCGGCCTGCGCGCTGTCGTGGGTGGCGAAGTTGACGAAACCGAAACCACGGCTCTTGCCCTCCTGGTCACGGCTCAGGGTAGCAGAGGTGATCTCACCGAACGTCTCAAAGAGCTTGCGGAATTCCTCGTCATCGATGTCGGCGTCCAGGTTCTTAATGTAGACGTTGGTGAAGTTGGCCTTCATCTCCTCGAACTTGCTCTGGCGGTCCTTCTTGGAGATGTGGTGGCCGACGAAGACCTTCTTGTCGTTCAACAGCATGCCGTTGACGTGCTTGATGGCGTTGTTGGCAGCCTCAGCAGTCTCGTAGTGAACGAAACCGTAGCCCTTGGAGTTACCGAACTCATCCTGAGCGACCTTGCAGCTCAAAATGTTGCCAAAAGCAGCGAAGGTATCGTGAAGAGCCTTGTTGTCAATGGCACTGTCGAGGTTCTTGATGAAAACGTTGCCCTGACCAGTCTTGCGGAGGGCGGGGTCACGCTGGGACCACATGATACGGCAGGGCTTGCCCTTGATCAAGGTGTAGTTAAGGTCCTCGAGGGCGCGCTCACCGTCGGCGGTGTTGTTGTAGTTGACGTAGGCATATCCGAGCGAGCGTCTGGTAACAGCGTCACGGCAAACACGGATAGAGGCAACCTGGCCAATGGAGGAGAAGAGCTCATAGAGCATAGCCTCGGTGACGGAGGGGTCGAGTTCACCGACATAGAGGGAGGCGGAGTGAGGCTGGTTGTTGTTGGCGGCAGGGGCAGCATTCTCAACAGCGGTGACCTCGGGGGCTTCGCTGGGGGCAGCAGCAGCAGGGCTGGTCTCGGGGGTGCCGTTGACAGTGTTGTCGGTGGCAGGAGTGGTAGCAGCGTCGGAAGACATTTTTATGGTGTTACTGTTGAGTAAGAAGGCAGATTAGCCGAAGTTCAAGCTCAATTTGAGCCAGGCAGCGGAAGTGGATGGATAAGCGTGCAATCACAGGGTTTCGGCTGTAAGCGAGAATCACAAGACACAAAGTATAGCTTCATCCACTTGAAGTGATGATGGAATCAGATGGACACAAATGACAGGCACAAAAGATGCGCAATGTCAGAGAGAGACGGCCGCTATCTTGCCTTTCTACCGATAGGATGAAAAGCCAGGCAAAGTGCTCTGCGGTAGTGGTGGGGGGGGGGGGGAATTTGATGATCAAAGCAACAGACGTACAACCTAGATAAGACACCAGGTAGGTCTATAGAAGACAGTCGAGATGGTGGAGATACAGACGACAATAAGATGAAAAGCAAAGCAACACAGGACCACAAGGATGTAGACAGGAAGTAGTCGACAGCAGAGAAGAAGGGAAGGTGAGTTGGAAGTGGAAAGATTTCTCTAGCTGCACGCACGCACGCACGCACACACACACCGCACAACTTGGAAGTGATGTGGGAAAAGTGACAGTCGGGAAGCAGAACACACCACGAGATCACAAGAATGAGAGATTTGGAGGAGGAGGAGGAGGGGAAGAAGAGGGGAGCTATACTTTAGTTTTTTGAAGGTTTTCCGGTTTTTTTTATAGGTTTTTTTTTCCGATGGGGGAATCGAAAATAAGGGAGATAGAGAGAGATGGGGAAAAGAAGAGAAGAAGAGGGGAAGAGAAATTGCTGGGGATGAGGCAGCAAGAAAGGCTTTTATTATTTTTTGGGAAAGGAGGAAAAGAAAGAAAAGCGGATGGAAGAGGAAGAGAAGGAAAGAGGGAAAAGAGAGAGAGAGAGAGAGAGAGAGAGGGAGAGAGAAAAAGACGGCGAAGAATGAAACAACCTCTTTTTTCTCTTTTTTTCTTCTCTTTTTTTTTTCTTACTCGCTCACTCTTATTTTTTTTACAGTGTCTGTTCTGGAAAAGTCAAAGAGAGAATTTTCTCAGAGTCTCTTTGGGTCAGACGCCCAGACTAGTCTGCTTTGAGCGATAGTCATCGCCGCCTCAACGGCTCTTTACGGGATGGTGGGTTTTTCTGCCTGTCGTTTGTTACCTGAAATTTTTAGCTTCCAGCGGCAAAGAAACGCAAAAAAGTCAACCGGGATTCAATAATGTGCTTGCTGTGCATACAGAGCAATGGCAATCACCACTTCTCACTTCTTCAACTTCCATCCATTGTTCCCACCCACCCCACTCTATATGCCTCAGGTGTCAACTTGGACACCTGAAATACTACAGCCTGGCAGTGAAACGAATTGATGAAGACTGATGATAGAGTACCATACTTATGAACAGTATGATTCTTAGCTGTTATGATCCCCGAACCTTAGAACTAGACCAGAGCTGTTCCGGAAATACTCATCATCCATACGTACTCTCTCTCTCTCTCTCTCATGTGCAATATGGGTCCAGGATGAGCAATTCGCAATCAACAAAGATGAAGAACGACAAGAACAATGAAACACAGGTCACCATGACGCCTTAGCTATGCCACCTAAAAACAAAAAGGTTCGAATGGGCACACGCCAAACACACGCGTGCAAAAGCTCTATTGACAAAAACAGTCTCAAAACTCAGCTCAAGTCGAAGCCGGCTCCAGAGTTGACAGCATAAAGAAGTTTCTCTCGCAATACGTCAGCATTGCTGTACCGTGGAAGCTTGAGGAGATTGACACAGGTGCTGGTACTAGGAAGTCGCTCTTGATCCTCACTCGAGTCACGGATGCTGAAGCGGGGATTGAGATGGCTGAAACCCAACAAAGGCGCCCGAGGAGTGGAGGTGACAAACCGAAGCACGTTCTGTCTTTGTTCATTGGTCATCTTTTCCATTACTTCCCAGAATAGCTTGATCGTAGGATGCTCTTCGTTGTCATCCCCGATTGTGTATACTCCGCCATAGAGCGTGTTACGTCTCAGGTCTGCGACATCAATGTCCCCTCGGTCACCGCTCACAAGAGTCTGCAGCTCCGTCTGATTAAACATGGACAGCCATGAGGGCTGTATGATCTGTCCGAGTCCCTGTAGGAAAGCGTTGGTCTGCAGTGCAGGTTGGACCTGGAGGCGATAACGAGCGATGTAGGATATGTATACCAGTCGATTTTGGTTCGTGACGGGTATGTCGGACCCCTGGCTTTTCAGATCGCGAGTGATGGTCCGACTGCCAGAACCAGGAAGAGGTATAGTATCGGTAATAGTGAAATTCAAAGAGAAATCCTCCACGTCGCCCGGGTAGTTCTTCAATTGAAGCTGCAATCAGACAAGAATCAGTGACTGTGGCACAAGATCATTCACATCTTAGAAACTTACCAAGCCCTGATAGAGCCCCTGGTCCAGATCCTTCAAATCGTTAAGATTAGCACGATAAGCAGATTCTCGCTGAGCTGAACCTGCCCCTCCTGTCAATGCCCATTTGAGCAAGAAGAACGGCGCGAAGTTGACATCAACTAAGATGCCTTCATACATGCACTTTCCAATGATCCGGCCAAGGAATTCATATCGTCTAAGTAACTCCCGTACTTTTTCGTTCCAATCTGGGCTGTTTTCAACGAAGCCTACTTGTCTCAGTAGCTCTTTCCGTTGCTCAACCGCTGTCGGGTTGGGATAGAGCAGGTGTTGGTCGTTCTCTTCAAACAGACTCATCTCGTTCCTGGATTTGAAGGCTTCGCTGGTCACACTGGTCAGGAATTCCTTGGTGACTCCACCGCCATCAATCCCAGCTTCCGCAGTGTTCCACTTGTCAATAAAAGTGATCTGGATTGGCTCCTTAAGACCCTCGCCCAGTTCGTAAAACTCCTCGAATGCATCCTCGAACACACTATCGCGCCTGATATTCGCATGGTGCCGACTTAGGACATCTTGTGCAGCAGGGCGCCCGTCAATCATGCGGCCCATCGTGGCTTCGGCCACGGACATACGCCAAGCATCTGGATCGACAAAGCCGTGTCTCCGGCGGATCTGATCGCGGTATATAAACTCGCGGAATACCTGGACTCTTGTTGCGAATGGAATGAAGAAGGGCATGTTCCTTAGGATTTCAAGTCGCGGTGCTACTGCCTCCAGCTGCTTCCGGCGAGCAGCCTGTTGTTGACGACGCCTTAGAGCCTCGATCCGACGTGCTTGCTGAGCACGACCGGTGCCAATAAGTCCTAAGGATGGTTCAAGAAGAGCATCAGGCGTGAGATCACCCTGTCCTTCGTCATCCTCATCCTGAAGTTGGTGTCGGTTCTCCTCCTCCGCAACAACAGCGGGGATGAACCCCTCCATGTCGAAACGGCTTGTCATCAACCAGTGCCCATCAGGGAGAAACTTCCTTCTCGAATCTCGCTCGTGAATCATCCTCAATAGACCTGTGACAAGACCCTTGAAATAGTCAAGCGGAATGCCCGTAACGCCAGGAAGTCCTTTCTCCTTGTTCTTGGTCTCGATCTCTTTGACGCTAGCCACAGGATCAGAGTGTAGCGCGGAGGAGCTGAAGTAGCTTCGAATTCCACCAGTACCCTGAACTGTTTCGTGCTCATTCAAATCTGCTGAGTTCCAGTACAGTGTAAAGCCCAGATTTTTCAGGAAGAGTGTCATCTCTTTGATGTCTGTCAATGGCAATGCACTCTCCTTGGTCCATGACACCCTGGTATTTGAGGAGGCAGTGAAAGACGACTCGTTGGAGAAAAACTCTTCGTCATCCATCACCTTGAGTACAAACGTATAGAGTTCAAGGAAGAGAAGGATGATAGTCCATTCTTCATCCCTCTCTGTCTGGGACATTCCCCGAAATCTGGAATCCATCGAGTCCTCGACAGGCTTCAAGAGAGGCAACACCTTGGTTGAGTCTTGACTGATGGCAGTAAAGATTCGGCTAGACCTGGATGCATGCCAGAAGTACTTGATGGCTGGGATCTTGGTGCCCTGTTGGCCTATCGATTGTTGACCCGGTGTAGCTGAGCCTAGATAGAGCCACATGCGGATATCGTCACCCCGCCGAGGGAACACCCGCAACAACGTCAGTGCATAGGTAGCAAGTATCTTTGCTTCTCGAGATGCCTCCGACTGAGAATCCGCCAGCTGACCTTGTGAAAGCTGTGTGGACTGGAGTTGGGAAAGAAGGCCTGTGATGCTGCTTTGATTGACAAGGCTGATGAGTTGATCCTTGATGAAGGAATGCAGGGGAGCTCTTTCGGAGTCGTCATCATGGTCATTAGGGTCATCCTGTTCCATCCGTCGTGATATATGCATTGCAGTGGAATTGAGCATGTCAGATACGACCTTGACGAAGCCAGTATCCGGGGCTTGCTGCCCGGCCTGGCTTCCCAATACAAAACGATGGAAGTAAATAAAGTAAGCGAGCATCCAGAGACAAGAATCTGTATCCTCGCGCTGACGGTCACGAAGATACGACTGCAGCGGATTAAGAGCGGAAGTCAGAAGCTTATAGTTGATACTGTTGGCCAGGCTATCCAAGCTACCGAGATACTGTGGAAGGTTTGGAATGGTCAAATAGGACTTCGCAAACCACTCATAAGCTGTAAGGGTTTCGGAAGTGATAGGCCTAAGCACGGCCAGGACACACTCGATTAGGCTGTCTCCGGAGAGCTGAGACTTTCTGTCTGTTGTCAAGATCCTCATGACTGAGTAATAGTCATGGGCGAGGCGAGCTATTTGCTTCGGTATGAGACCCGTAAGAAAGATAAGCAGCTGGAGAAGGGGGCCGACCGCGACCACCCCGACGCTGCTGCCGGCGTTCGCGGTACGGAGCACACGAAGGGTCAATCGTGCCAGTCGATTCAACGGCGTCGTCCATTCTCCTTCGGTCGCTATCGTCGGGACTTCATTCAAGGTCTTCTGGAAGACGCCCGAGAAGTACACCAGCCGGAGGACGTCCTCACTGTTCCACGGTTCCATGAACTGCACCAGCAAGCGCAGCTGTGACAAACAAGCCGCGGCCGTTCCATAGCGGTTAGGCCGTTGGAGAAACGCATCTTGCTGCTTGAGAAGGCTTTCGAAGGAGAAAAGCCCCTCAGTCGCCTGCGTCTCCGTGGCATCCCACTCGGTCCGCCACGCACTGCGCGTTATCTTCCTGCTCCGATAACCCCTCCATGTCCGTTGTATGGTCCGGCTCGCCCCTAATCGCTCTCTCTCCTGTTGTCTGAGTGCCCGTTCCTGTTGGGCGATTGCAAGCGTATTCTGAGGCCCTGCGCCGTGAGGATTCTGTCTGCCGGAGGGATATGCGGCGAAAGGGTTCGTGTTGCGGCCTCCAAGGTTGACCTGCCGTGGACGGCGGGAGTTCCCCGTAAATGACTGAAACATAGCTCGCCCGAGTTCACGTCGAGTCCGGAGGAAGCAATGATCGATATGACAAGATTAAATTTATTGTAAGAGGGAGGATAAGCATGACACAGACGACCCCATGCCGCAGAATGTAAGAAAAAATCCCGGATATGCAGCGAAGCGTTTGGAAGCGATGGAGGGGAAATGGGTGGATGATGAATTGGGCTATTCTTATGCCATTATTAAGTTACTAAGTTCCGACTCACTAAGTAACTTCCAACAACTACGCCGACTTGGCCGAGCGGGTGCGGAGCGGGCTTTTACGGCCACGCACCATGTGCCGCAGCGTTTTCACTAATGCCACTCTCCACAGTGCCACGGGCACAGGCTTTTACTTGCTGCAGAGTACCAACCATGCATATGATGATGCTTTAATAGTGTTATTCTTTGGACCACGCCTTCGACGAATCCAATGGAAGGGGACTATGAATTAAGCTAGCAACATTATGTGGGTAACTTCTAGCTTGCTAAAGCCTACACGGGCCGCGAGAAATATATCTATATACTTGGTTACCATCGGGTATTTGGCTGCAAGCTCGGCGAAACAGGCTCAATCATTATACTCGCTTGCAGACCTAGGAGCTACTGGCAAACAATTCCAACCTAGCAGATTATGGATGCGAGGTACAGAAGAAGTGTGTTATCGATAAATCCCAGCCATAATCTGCTCAGAAGTCGATCATCCATTCCCAGGTTGAAGGTCTATTTAACTCGTTCAAGAAAATCCAGGGACTCGGAGAACAAAGCAAGACTGTATGATCAATTGCTGAACTGCAAGAAAACCCAAGAGACGCCTCAAAACCAATACATGCATTTATGAGATGCTGACCCAGTAGCTGATAGTGACCTGTCAGCCCCTCTGCGCCCTGGCTGATGTGTAATCCAAATGGACCATCGCGACAGCCCTCCAGCACCACAAACAAACCACTATACATATGATACAATCCACACAAATCAGCGGACGAGGACAGGCTGAAACATCCCCCCAGCGTGAGAGCCAACATGCCTCGTTTAGCCACCGCTGTAGCTAGGGGTGAGCGACTGCCGTAAGCAGTGATAGACTTGGTTCGGAATCAACGTGTTTCTTCTGCGGATATTTCATGATGTCGTCGATCGAGTCGCCGCGGCTTCGGCGGCAAGCTTGGCCTGCTCCTGTTCCTTGTGGATAACTGCCCAAGCCGCCTTTCTAGCTTTCTTCCTGGCAGCGGCCTCAGCCTCCTTCGCAGCCTCCGCAGCCTTCGCGGCCATCGCGGCCTGGGCAGCCCTGCGCTCCTCTTCTATCGCGAGCTGCTTGTCAATCTGCTCCTGTTCCAGGACCTCCCGACCGTTATCAAGCGCCCACATATCCAGGTAGTCCTTGCCCTCGAGAGCGCGCTCAACCGTGATGATCCTGCCTTTCTTCTCAAGCTGTCGAGTGTACTTGGATTGCGTCGGGCTCATGACTCTCGTGACGAACGGGGTGAGCTGATCATGGATAGACAAATTAGCTTCATGGAATCATCATCCACTTTAAATGTGACTCTCGTACCTTAAATTGATCCAGGTTCTCGGGGACAACATATGTGCGGACTTTCTTCCAGTCGATCACGTAGGACCCGTTCTTTGCGAAGTAACCCATGGAGCCGGTCCGGTTTCCTTTGTAGTAGCCGCCATTGACCTGCTTCGTGGTCAGGCGCAAACGCGCCATCATCGGCTTGGAGGGTTTAAACATGGCGGAAGAATTGGGGCGGTCGACAGTCTTTGCTTGGGCCTTCACATTCACTGATTTGCGGAGGATGGGGGGACGGACGAACGGTCAGCGGACAAAAAGGCTCTTCTGGAAGTCGGGCGGCGCTAGGAGTATCTCCGCCCCGCCAAGAACCTTTTTTTCTCTGTTCCGCATTAGAAAAAAAAATCGACCGCATTGCAATCGGGTACAACAATATCCCTGCGCAAAACCGGTGCATGGTCATATAATCCACGACACATCAGCTTATCTTTCCATCGAAGTGTCTTTCACCCATACAGACAATTCTACCGGTGATAACGCCGCCCAGAGCGAGGGCCAACAATCATGCCTCGCCAACAGACGCAACTGCGCGGTCCGAAAGACCGGAACCGCGACCAGTCTTCTTCGAAGAAACCCTCCCAGAAGAAGACGTCCGGAAAGATGCTGAATGCCTTCTCCATCGCCGAAAGTCAATACCCCACGAAAGTCAAGATGAGAAGGAGTCGTTTTGGACAACAAGATGATGATCAGTTCAAACGCAAGCGAAACATCGGTCGCGATCCCGAAGACTCAGACACACCGGATAACAAGCGCCGCCGAACCGGCGATGACGAATCGGAGATGGGATCGAATTTCGGCAGTGACGGTGAAGGAAATCGGTGGAGACTGGGCGAGGTGGACAGCGATGATGACGAGGATATTGACAGTGACGAAGCATTAGGCTCTAGCGACGAGGAAAGATTCGAGAGCTTCACCTTCCGTGGCAGTTCCAAGCCAAAATACAAGGTTCCTGAGAAGAAAAAGCGTGTTCGTGAGATTACTTTGTCTGAAGATGTGGATGAGTCCGAAGAAGACGACGACGACGAGCTAGACGAAGATGATGACCTCGGAGAGGACGCGGTCGACCTGGCCACTGCCTGGGACATGAACACCGCCATGGAAAAGGAGGAGGAGGAAGCCAAGAATGCAAAGTCCAAATCGAAGCAGGCGCCAGGAAGCGATGATTCAGAAGAATATGACAGCGATACTGAAGAAAGCGACTCCGACGATGACAGCGCTCTATCTGTCTCCGAAGACGACAACGATGACGATCAACAGCATGGGCTCGCGAAATTGCAAAGCTTTGTCGACTCTATGAACACGCAAACTGCTCCCAAATCGAAACGGAAGACAGGTGGTGGGCAAGAACAAGGGGCCCCGACTGAATTCGGCTTGACATCTACGCGCAAGCTGACAGTTGCCGATCTTCTGCCTTCCATTACGGACTCTCGGCTCAAAAGTTCATTGAAGCACGTTGACTCCGATGCATCTGCACCTAAGAAGTCGTCCGGTATCCCCGGGAAACTAGATGCCCCTCTCGCAAAGCGCCAGCAGGATCGCTTGGATCGAGCGGCTGCATATGACAAGAGCAAGGAAACACTTGACCGGTGGCTCGAGACCGTCAAAGCCAATCGTCGGGCTGAGCATCTCATGTTTCCTTTGCCTGATCCAGATGCGAACCAGGCGCATCGTATGAGCGCACCTCAGCCACGGACGGACCTCGAAAGTACGATTCAGAATATTCTTGTTGAGAGTGGGCTTGCGGAGACGAATGGCAAGTCGGCTGAAGATCAGTTGCAGGAAATGGAAGAATTACAGGAGCGCAGACTACCAATTGAAGAAATTCAGGCCCGCAGAGCCGAACTACGGAAAAGGCGTGATCTATTGTTTCGGGAGGAAGTACGCGCAAAACGGATCAAGAAGATCAAGAGCAAGTCTTATCGCCGGGTTCATCGAAAGGAACGTGAGAAACTGGAACTTCAAGAAAGACAGGCTCTGCTGGAAGCCGGTGTTGATCTAGATGAGCTGGAAAGAGAAAAGAACGAGCGTTTGAGAGCGGAGGCGAGAATGGGCTCCAAGCACAAGGAAAGCAAGTGGGCAAAGAGCCTGAAGCAGACCGGTCGCACTGCATGGGATGAAGATGCTCGACGTGGTACGCAGGAGCAAGCATTGCGCGAGGAGGAACTACGCAAGAGAATCGAAGGCAAGAGAGTCACAACCGGCGACGAAGATTATCTCGGATCTTCTAGTTCCGAGTCGGAGGACGAGGATCCCTGGGACGAGGAAGCTGCCTCCGATGCTGAGAAGCGCAAGATCCGCCAGAAACTCAGCAAGCTTGAAGGGGACGACGAAGACGATGCAGGGGAGTACAAGGGTCCTCATGCGAATCTGATGAACATGAAATTCATGCAGAATGCACAGGCTGCTCGCAAAGCAGAGAATGATGCAGAGATCCGACGTCTTAACCGTGAATTACATGGTGAGGAATCCCAGTCAGAGGCCGAATCTGAGGTTGGACGACGCAAGTTCGGCAAGTCTGAAAAGGACGAGTCTGCCAAAGAGAGCAAGCTCAAAGCAGCGCCTCGCAATGAGTTCGAAGAAGCTCCGGGATCAGACGATGAGCCGGATGTGCATGAAATCGACCAGGACGTGAAGATAGTTCTTGACCGTCCGCAAAAGAAGGGACCGCTTCCCAACAAAAACAACTACAACGCTCGGCCTTTGAGCCAGGTTGCGGAACGAGAAGAATCCTCAGTGGAAGAAAACCCATGGTTGGTGCAAACTACCAGGAATAATCGCCGGGTGACAGCAGACGATACTCAGCAGACGATCGACATCACGCTTGAAGATGCCCAGCCGAGCCCTGCTGGTGCTAAGGGTGTTTCCAAGGTTCAAAAGAAACCAGTCGCAACAAGTAAGACGGTTGACGCCGAAGATTACGACAGCGATGAAGACGGTGTACCGGTGCTTCTCAAGAATCACGATCTCGTGAAGAGAGCGTTCGCGGGTGACGAGGTCGTGCAGGACTTCGAGCAAGAGAAGCTTGATACCATCAAAGAAGAGGGTGACCAGATTATCGACAACACCCTGCCTGGCTGGGGCAGCTGGGCTGGTGATGGTATCAGCAAGAAACAGCAGAAGCGTCAGAAGCGTTTCTTGACTAAGGTGGAGGGAGTCAAGCCTGAAGACCGGAAAGATGCTAAGTTATCCCGAGTCATCATCAATGAGAAACGAATCAAGAAGGTAAGGATAATCGCCTTCACATTAATTGCATGCGAATACCCAAACTAATGTCTTATGCCGTCCCAGAACAACAAGTATATGGCCACTCAGCTTCCTCACCAATTCGAGACCAGACAGCAATACGAAAGGTCTCTCCGCCTCCCTATCGGTCCCGAATGGTCTACCAAGGAGACTTTCCAGATTGCAACCAAGCCTCGCGTGATGATCAAGCAGGGTGT